TAAATAGTTTTGTACTTAACTATAATTACACTAAATCTTTTAGTTTATTAATGGCTAATTTTTTAGCTCTTTTTCATTAATTTCATGGTTTATAACTAATTTTTAAATTATAAGGCTCGATACGCTGTTTAAGTATACCGAAGATGTAAATTAGCCATGAATTACCCCTAACAATTTCGAACTAGCCATATTAAAGTTAGGGTTCGGTTGTTGTACAACGAGAACAAAATAATCTATTCCCTGTCTGGGTCGTTCACTCGGGTGGAATGTTGTTGGTGGCTCTTAGCCGTTGGCAATACTGATTGTGTGCTTTGATAACCTATATGTGCATCGGCCATCGAGTTTTTTGCGTCGGTGTGACTAGAAACAACGTGTTGTGAAAAAACCTAATTTAAACGGGCTACCAGTATATGAATCTAACTCTAACTTTAGAGATTGTGGGCTAAACGGACTACTAACGAGTTATTTATCTAAATTTCTAATATTATAAATTTAATAAGAATTTAAGTTAAAAATGCACAATATTTAATTTTTACACGTGTTTACATAATTTTTATTAAGTTTCATTAATAAAATGATTAAAGTCTAAAATTTATTAAATAATATTGGTATATAGTAAATGTTTCTCATTACATATAAAAAAGGTCTTCGTATATTTTTTAAAATCTAATAGTGAAATAATAAAATTTGATATGATAACAAATTTTAGGAAAAAAATAAGTAATTAAATAGAATACATATAAAATTGCATATAAAATCACCACCTTTTTGCATTAATTGTAAATGCAACTTTTATATATTAGAAGTTAAGTATACAAACTTTGCAAATTGAAACATGGATTCCACCTCCGACACCAAAATGTTGGCCTATTGTAAATGCAACTTTTATATATTAGAAGTTAAGTATACAAACTTTGCAAATTGAAACATGGATTCCACCTCCGACACCAAAATGTTGGCCTGGCACATCGGATTAAAAAATAAATACGAATAAAAGAAATTTTAAGTCGCCCGTATTAAAAGACATGTCTTGTTGGCTACAAAACTTCAATTCCTCTTTATAGAAAAGGAACCCTAGTTGTTCCAATTCCTCGTCTCATACGCCCTAGTTGTTCCAACTCAAAAATCTCAAATTACTCATGTTTAACTTGAACCCTAAAAAAGTCGAGTGGATTTAGTAGTCGAACCGCAATTCCTCATATGTGTTTTCATTGATTGCAATCAGATATGCTAACGTCGAACACATATAAAATCCAACTCGAATGTATAATCTTTGTGAATTGAGAAATGTAAGGGTTTTTTTTTTTTTTTTGAACTACGTTCTTTTATGGCAAAAATCTAATTTTGGTCCGCTAATTTGTCCATTGTCCACTTTTGGTACACTAACTTGTCCTTCATCAAAAAAGGTTCATTATGTTACACTTTTCATCAGTTTTAGTACCTTTTCATTATGCTAATCCCGTGGCCCGGGATTACGAGATGCCAAATCAATTATTTATCCTACCACGTCAACATCTTATCCATCCACGTAGTTCCAATCCCGGTCCACGTCATCTAGTAATCCCGCCAACTGGAGTAGTGTACTAAATCTGATGAAAATGTAACATAATGGACCATTTCTGATGAGGGACAAGTTAGCGGACCAAAAGTGGATAGTGGACAAGTTAGCGGACCAAAATTGAATTTTTGCCTTCTTTTATTATTTAAGGATTGATTTTTTTTAGATTAGTTTTTTTGTACAAATATTTACATGCTCATTTGAAAACAAAGAAATCCAGAGTCTCTATGCTTATATTCTACGAGTAAAAATAATCATTCTTTTTGTTCTTTTCCAAGGTTTTGAAATTTTATGTTCTTTTGCTCGTTTAACATAAATAATGACTACTACCATTTTCATAAGGTTTGTTTCTTGATGTTGAATGCTCAAAAGAACTTGTTGGAAGAGAAGTTGAAATGTAAAAATATTTATAAAAAACTTATTTGAAAGTGTCGTATTGTTTTTTGCATAATTGTTTCGTACTTTATTAATTATGTTCGTCTGCTTCTCGCATAGTATATCAAATAACCGTTTCGTAGTTTATTAATTTTCTTCGTCTTTATGTCGCATCGTGTATCGCATAATTGTTTCGCGCTTTGTCATTTATGTTCGCCTGCGTGTCACATAATTTATCCTATAATTTATTTCACATTTATGGGAGTGAAAAAGTTAATATTTGTGTAAAACTTATTCTTTCTTTGAAGCGTGGTGAAAATAGTTATTTTCTCTAAGTAAATCAACATAATTGTATTGTCTAGTTTTACAAATGATCAAATTTATTAAATCTTATATGATTATAAATATAATATTCATATATATAATTTATAATATTTTATTTGAATTGTGCATATGCATATGAGTATTAGGTTGTATAGGAGTAATGCTACATAACCAACCTAGTGTACAACTAGGTTGACAACACAAGTGTAAACATCCACTTGTGTGTTTTTTTATTTTTAATTTTATGAGTGTTTACACTTGTGTTGTCAACCTAGTTGTACACTAGGTTGATTATGTAGCATTACTCAAAGATTTAATACTTTTTTAATTAAACTAGTATGTAACCCGTGCGATGCACGGGCTAGTACATGTTTTGGAAAAATTTTAAAAATTAAAAGGTCATTTACTAATAAGTTGTTATAACACGTATGATATTTATAAAGTAAACATAAAATCGTTATTGGCAAAAAATTATACATTATTAACAACCTCCTGAGTGCATATATATCGCCTTGCTTAAATACACCTCGAAATGCATACATATACGCAGAACGTATAATGGCAGTTATTTGCGCACCCTACAATATGAAGTTATACAAAATAAGTTAAATTAAAAAGTTACGTATGTTAGTAATACAGATATAACAAATCAAAATATTACCTCACGATCTTGAAAGATGATCTCAAAAAAATTATTGGATTCCACGTCAAATTTCATCTCAATAATTAGAATTGCTTATTAATTGCATGGAGTGTATCAAATAACCCTCTCATTTTTTTTTAATATTTTCCGAAAGTTCTATGCGTTTTTTTTTTATGGACAGGAATTGGAGAAGTTG